CATGATGATGGAGAGAGGGAGGGGGAGCAAGAGAGAGACACAGTATGATGGATAGAGGGAGAGGGAACGAAAGAGAGAGACACGCACAGTATGAGGGATAGGGAGAGGAGAAGAGGGAGAGGGGGATGCGAAGCCGCAGCCATGCTCTCTACACTCACAATCTGTTTCTCGGAGTACTTGTTCGACGTCAGCAGGTTGACGGCTTCCATGTGGCCAAAGTCGATGTCGTGGCCGAGCAGGAAGATGAAGAGCAACTTACAGACATACTTCTTCTTCTGGTAGCCGTCTAACGTCTTGTCGCCTGCAAGGAGACACAGAGAGAGAGAGAGAGGGTTAATAGTTGTTACCCAGTACATGATTCATACAGGAACGACATACAAGTTGATTAATCGAGTAGAAAATCGGACGACCGAGTACAACTCACTTTTTTGGGGGGGATTGAATTTGATGAGCAGTTATGTTGCAATGCCCTTTAGAGTGTTACCTGTCCATAACCCTAACAGTATCCCTAATTTACTTACCATTAAATACTAGCTACACATACAATGTCAATATTCCTTCGCAATACACCGATTGTGTCGACGATGACGCGGCGTCACCGCGTCGTCGCCGCAATCTAAAATGATCGATGATTAATCGATCATCGGTCGTTTTCTAAAACCGACGATCGATCATGAAATTTGGACCGATCTCCAACACTACTGTTGATGCCTCCTTGCTTGCCGTTGTGGATATTTGCCTACGTTACTGATATGCCTCTGTCAGTGCATCTCTCATACATCCCTCATCACATATATGTATCACTCTCTGTCCCGCCTTAAAAGTGTCGATAAAAAGTAAGTGTTCTTGATTTATAAGCATTTTTCTTCGTGGGACACACTTGCATTAAAAGTGTTACTAAAAAAATAAGTGTACTTGATATGCATTCTCCTTTGGAGGGGATATTTGCCAGGATGCACCCCACCCTCCCAACCTGCTCTGCCATCCTAAAAGCCCTAAAAGCAGTTTTATCTAAAACTATTATTACAGTTTATCTTAAACAGCTTACAGTTTTATCTAAAACTGCTGATTAAACGACCTAGAATAAAGCATTGCCCTAAATAAATTAAATTCGATGCAGGATAACCCTAACTGTAAGTTGTAACACAAACTGTAACCCTAACCCTGATCTTAACCACAGTCCTGCTAAACTAGATTTGACAGCTTACACTACATCGACACCTGCCACCCACTGGCGAGAAGTACCCTGCACTCGCTTGTTAAGCTACCGCTCTCGGGCCGACACAAGACGCCGAAACCTTTGTGAGAAGATGAGATACTTTCGACGATTGCTTCGGGGGCGAAAAAAACGGGCAAAGCGTCGGCACGAAATCCAACGACATTTTCGAGACGAATTTAATTACGCGGCGGCGATGCAATCCCTCTTTAGTTTTTCCGTAGGGCCGAAAAAAGATGGCGGAACAATGACGGTGCGTCAGTGCATGTGCACCTGTGACAAGGGCTGTGATTTGATGCCGCTGATTGCCGAGGAGCGACGCAGCCGGATGTTAGCTTGGATGCTAACGAGCAAATACTTGATTAGTCCGTGATAACGATGCAGCACAAACGCCGTGTTTTGATGTGCAAATTGCGCATTTTAATGACAACGTCCTCGACATTTCATTTTAATTAAAATCGAAACGCCCCCGCCTATGCGTTGACTCGAACCGAGCTGATCATTTGCATGCGAACGTCGACTCGTGGCCACGGCGACCGGCAACCCCGCCCGTGGCTTCGCCGACCTCTGGCGTGTGTGCACGCACAGCGGCTAGCGGTTCCCTACGCTGCAGCGGCAAGCTGCCCTACTCTGGTATTTGATATACGTAATGCTGACTGAACGTGACACATAATCAATACGCTTCCTAGCTCGCCGGCCAGCGACCAATCTCGCGTCGCCGCCGCACGCGCGCGCACGGCCTACTTTCATAAAAGCTGCGCGGCAAGGGGGGGGGGATGCCTCGTAGAGATGAAGCCATTTGCGCAGTTGCCGGTCGCGGCCCATGTCGAGATGGATGCGAGCGCAAACACTGCTCTCTGATGTAAGCAGCCCCGCGTGCTGGTACTGACACACCACCCGCTCTCCGGATGCATGCAGCCGACATGTGCATGTCAGTATGATCAGAAGTAGATAATAGGGAATTGCATGCCTGAGAGCCAGTCAGTGCGAGATTGGAAGGTTCCCAGTGTTTCATTAACTGACTGGTTTCCAATTTCACACTGACTGGTGTCCAGTGTTTCATTAACTGACTGGTTCCAAGTGTTTCATTAACTAGCTGGTTTGCAAAGTTTCATTAACTGACTGGTTCCAATGTCTCACTAACTGACTGATTCCCAGTGTTTCATTAACTGACTGATTCCAATGTCTCACTAACTGACTGATTCCCAGTGTTTCATTAACTGACTGCTGGAAACCAGTCAGTTAGTGAAACACTGGGAACTAGTCCGTGTGAGATTGGAAACCAGTCAGTTTTAATGAAACACTGGGAATCAGTCAGTTAATGAAACACTGGGAACCAGTCAGTTAGTGAAACATTGAAACCAGTCAGTTAATGAAACACTGGGAATCAGTCAGTTAGTGAAACACTGGGAACCAGTCCGTGTGAGATTGGAAACCAGTCAGTTTTAATGAAACACTGGGAATCAGTCAGTTAATGAAACACTGGGAATCAGTCCGTGTGAGATTGGAAACCAGTCAGTTTTAATGAAACACTGGGAATCAGTCAGTTAATGAAACACTGCATGAGAATCAGTCAGTTAATGAAACACTGGGAACCAGTCAGTTAGTGAGACATTGGAACCAGTCCGGCAGTGAGAGACTTGGAACGAATGATGTTTGCTAGAACTGGAAGTGGGCCGTTCAGTGAATTGAATGTAATGAAAGTCAGTGAACGAATCGAAAGCCCTCACTGAAAATGGGTTCTGACAGTTGGATAGCAGAGCACATTGCTCTTTTGCTGGAGCTAAGAGGTCGACTGTGTGCGTGCGTTCGTGGTGTGTGGGCCCAGTGCGTGCGTGTGTGGTGCGTGCGTGGTGTGTGCGTGCGTGCGTGCGTGCGTGCGTGCGTGAACTGCTGGCCGAGTGAGAACAACGGTCTACACTCTACAACCTACAGTGAGTGACACGCGCGTTCTCTCGCCAGCCGACCGTACTATTGCAATGACAGCCTGTGGCTTTCACGCACCTAAGGTGCTGTATAGCGTCGAGTGGAGGGACGTTTCCACAGCAAGGCCAGGCTGGCAGTGAATGCATTCCTTGCACGCATACGCACACATCCGCACACGCATGCATACACAAACATGCACGCACGCGCACACACGCACACACACGCGCACACGGGAACACGAACACACATGTACGCACGCATGCACGCACACACCACGCACGCACGCACACACCACGCACGCACGCACGCACATAGATTCACATAAACTATTGTACTGCACGCACATTGCAGCCTCACGCTTACGTACACAGATACACGCAGGCACGCACTTCACACACACACACACGCACGCACGCACGCACGCACGCACGCACGCAGCACGCACGCACGCACGTACGCACTCACACACACATACGCACGCGCGCACGCACAGAAAGAGACGAGCGCGCACAAGCACACGCACGTTAACATTACATAATGCTAAAATTGCTAGTATAAATGAAAGCGAAGATAAAAGCGACTTTCGCCCGTACACCGGCCGCAATATACCGCCAATTTTAATATACACCGGCCGCAATATAATACACCGCCAATATACACCGCCAATACACCGCCAATACACCGCCAATACACCGCCAATATACACCGTATTTCTCATCCGACCGTGTATGACTTAATTACAAACAGACAACGACACTGCTGCGACTGCGAGGATGTTGCCGTGACCGTACACACACACACACACACACACGCACACGCACACACGCACACACACACACACACACACACACACACACA